CCACCCTCCTGCCTGCACACCTGCCCTCCTGCCTGCACACCTGACCTCCTGCCTGCACTCCCACCCTCCTGCCTGCACACCTGCCTCCCCTTCCTGCTCTGCTCCCAGGAGCCAGGTCAGAGGTGGCTTCGTCCCTCCAGCCCCTGTGGATGTCACAGAGCTCAGGTTCACCCACCTCAGCAGCATCACACCTTCACCTGCCCTCACCTGGCAGAGATTCCTGGCTGTCACCTGGCTTGGCCTGGACCATAGGAAGTGGATGATTCCTTAACAGGATGCTCAATCCATCCCTTAGCCAGCAGCCACTCTCTCCATCCTCGGTACAGGTGGAACATCTGAGTGGATTTATCAGCCTCACTGGGCTGTGATGCTGAAGCCCAGGGCTGTCTGTCAGCCCTGGAACCTCTGGACACCTCTGACCACACCACTCCCACACCTTATCATCCCTGTTCTTACTCCTTCACCCTTCTCTGCACCACCTTCCTTCCTCCATCCCTGTTCCCTTCCAAGTAATTCAGCTGCCTGGAATTATTTTCTCCAGGTGGTCCCAGTTTTCCTCCAAATTTGGTATTCCTGACCCTTCCACACCAGCCTGATCCCTGGGTGCAGCCCTCTGCCTGTCCTTGATTCCCTCCCTCGCTGGCACAGCACATGAGCTTCATCCCAAACCAGGATTAGTGTAACTGGGAGCAGACCTGCTCCAGAGCCTTCAGTGGAGTCTCTCCATCCCCCCTGGAGCCATCTCAAAGGGCATATTTCAGTGACAGTGTGACTTTGACACAGGACAGACAGACAGTCAGTCAGACACCCTTCCTACTTCTCAGAATTTTCCTTGGATGCTGCTTGTGCTGCTCAGCCAACGTGCCGAGCCAAGCGTTGATAATCCAGTGCCTGAAATCCAGTTATCCAAATAGGATTTCCTCCTACTGGTGACTGGGATTTGGTGGAGAGAGCTTGGCTCTGCCCCTGTGTGTAATCCTGAGCTTGGGGCACTCAGCCTGTAATTACAGCAGTGAAAATCATCCTGAGCTCCGTGAGCAGCCATGGGGCCTGGACTCAGTGGTCCTGGGTGTGGGTGGCCTGTGCCAGGCTGGGCTGTGCCACCAGCTGAGACCCTGCACCAGGGCAGAACCCTCTGCCTGAGATGTTCCTGCTCCCAACTTCATTTTACACAGCTTTTCCAGGGCAGGGGGTGAACATCCTTTAACACGTCATTCTCAGGATTTAGGATGTGGTGTCTGCTTTTCCAGCCCAGTGTGTCTGTGAAGGCAGAGCCAAAGTCTTGCTGTGTGTCTTGGACAAAGTGGGGACCTGTGTCCTCATGAGTTCCAAGTGGGAACTTATTAAATCTTATTAAAAGTGGCATAGTGTCTTCGATAAATAGAATTGGCCAAGACTTTGCTTTTAGTTTCTAATGTAAGCAGCATCCTGTTGTTAGCACCACATTAAGGCATTGATTCCAGAGTGACTCAGAAGGGAGAGCAGTACCTCACAGCTCTGCTTTTAAACCATAAAACCGTGGACTGGTTTGGATTGGAAGGGATCTTAAAGATCACCTAGTTCCAAACCCCTCGTCCCAAACTTCTTCCACTAGAGCAGGTTGTTCATTCTGTAGTGATTTACTCAGGATATTGCAGCCTCTCTGAGCCTGAGTTCCAAGTGGGAACTGCTGCTGGTAGGAGAGGTGCTGTTACATTGGGATTACTGGGGTGCCAGCACTTCCCTGTTTCTCAACCAGGATCCCTGGAGAGCAGAGCCACGTCCCGGGATCCTGGCACTGCAGCAACTCACCACGACGGTTGCTCAAGCTGTTATGGATAATGCTGTGAAATGAGCTTTAGCAAATCCTGGCAGGAGCTTGGCAAGCTTGGCACACCTCCTTTTGCAGCCAGGACACCTCATGGAGGGTCACCCCAATGCCCAGGAGGAAACTGGGGTGTCCAGGACAGCACCTGGAGCATCCTTAGCGTGAAAGCTGGCAGGAGGAGTCCTGCTGTGATAACTCACCTGTGACCTTATGGGCTGTTCTCCTGTCCCCAGGTGAGCCACCACCCCCCAGCAGCCGCCCACCATGTGTACTCCCGGCGAGGGTGGACGTTGTGGCAGGAGATCACCATCGCCAGCAAGTTCAGGGGCAAATACCTCTCCATCATGCCACTGGGTAGGTGATGGACTCGGGGAGCATCCGGGGTTGAGGTTCCCTGCACTGCTCATGGGGCACCCAAAGGTCAAAGCAAGTGTTCCCTTGGGCTCACCTGGAGCTCAGTGAATCACCTGGAGCTCAGTGAATCCCTTGGGCTCACACCGGGCTCAGTGAATTCCACCCTGAGCAATGTAAGGAGCCCAGATTTGTGCTCCTGGCTCAGTGATCCCACAATGACTCATCTGCCCTGCAAGTGGAAGTGATGCCAGCTGCAAAGGGAGGCCACTTTGCTTTGGAAATAATCCTTTTTGGATGCGATAAGCTGCCTCCTTGCAGTGTTTTCTTTGTCTTCTGCCTGTCCCTGGGCTGGGCATTGTGCCCAGGGCTGGTCCCAGAGTGGTGCTGGTGCCTGGCCTTGGGACACTGAGTCAGACAGGCAGCACGTTTCTGACCTGCTCTAAAATGAGTATTTTTGGCTGAGGGCAGAGGGCCTGGCAGGTGTTGAACCTCCCTTCCTGGAGCAGACAGGGGAGGGGGTGTACAGCAAGGAGAGGGATGAATCCAGCCCCAGCCTCAGTTGGGAGCAGAGGGTGGGGGATGCAGGGAGAGGGGCTGGGGTGGCTCTGGGGATGAGCACGAGGTGGTGGTGGGTTCTGGGGGAGCCTCTGCCCTCTCTGGGCTCAGGGAACCCTTCTCTCCCCAGGTGCCATCCACCTCGAGTTCCACTCCAGTGGGAATCACTATGTGTGGAGGAAAGTCACGTCCACAGTGCACAACATCATCGTGGGCAAGCTCTGGATTGACCAGGTCAGTGGCTGTGGGTGAGGGAACAGGTCCTGCCTGACCTCACCTGTCTGGGCATTGCCCTCCTGGGGTGCTCCTGCCATGGTGGAAAGCTCTGCTTCCCTGGCAGGGGTTGGGGGAGGCTTCCTGGAGCTCCTCCTGGCTCTTCCCCAGTCCAGCAGCTCTGTGGGGCAGGGAGGGGTGGCTGGTGCAGGGGCTCCAGCCAGCCATGGTGCTGTACCCAGTGTTGATTTGTACCTGCTCTACAACTAACAGCTGCTCTGTCTCTCCCTGCTGTGGTTCTGTGTCTTTTATCCAGTCTGGTGAAATAGAGATTGTTAACCATAAGTCCAAAGATAAATGCCAGCTGAAATTTACCCCCTACAGCTACTTCTCCAGGGATGTGCCCCGAAAGGTGAGTACCCAGCAATGGCCCTGCTCCTCCTGCCAGCCTGGGGTGGGGTGAGACCTGGCTCTTCCCCCTGAGCTGGGCTCCCAGGCTCCCAGTACCACGGGGCTGAGGGGCTGTGCTGGCTCCTCGGGTGTGGGTCACCAGGGAGGGCTGGATGGGACCTCCACATCCTGTGTTTTTAACCTCCACGTCCCTTGTTTTGGCTCTCCGTGTGCTGGAGCTGCAGCACTGAGACCTTGGAGGGGTTGGGTGGGCTGGAGACCCACCTGCATGGTCAGAGTGGCCACGTGTTCCCCTGTGCTGGATGCAGCTGATGTCTGAGGAGACACAGCACTGGATCCAGCTGCTCCAGGGGCTCCTGGAGGGTGTTCTGCCCCTCTGGGCACTTCCAAATGCCATCTCCCCCTGCCAGGTGACAGGGGTGGTGAGTGACGCCGATGGCAAAGCCCACTACGTCATGTCTGGCACGTGGGATGAGAAGATGGAGTGCTCCAAGATCCTGCACAGCAGCCATGGCAGCAGCAGCACGGAGGGCAAGCAGAAAACCGTGTACCAGACCCTGTCCCCAAAGGTCCTGTGGAGGAAGTACCCGCTGCCGTGAGTCCCCTTGGCACAGGGGGATGGATGGGGATGGGGATGGCATTCCCTGGGCCTCATGGGATGAGGGGCTTTGTGTGCCCAGGCCTGGGGACGTGGGTGGGGACCAGGACTTCGGGGGCTGAGTGGCTCTTTCTGGGGTGGGAGGGGAGAGCAGGTCCCTGCAAGGGAAGGGTGGCTTTGGGGGACCCTCGTGGGTGGGTTTGGGGCAATCAGGGGGTCTGGTTGGGTTTCTGGGGCTGTGGGCTCTGGCAGGGAGGGATGTTGGCTGCTTTGCCTTGCTGGAGAGTCCCTGGTCATCCTGTCCCACCAGTGACTTTATCCCTCTGGAGAGCAATCCTCCCTTGGCACAGCAGGGCTGTGCTCAGATCAGTCTCCAGCCTCTGGTATCACCAATAGACTGTCCCTGATTGGGGATGTTCTGTTGGGATGGGGACTCCACCACTGCCCTGGGCAGCTGTGCCAGTGCCTGACCAGCCTTTCCAGGAAGAAATTTTCCCCAGTATTCAATCTAAACCTTCCCTGGCACAGCTGGAGGCCGTTCCCTCTCCTCCTGTCCCTTGTTCCCTGGGAGCAGAGCCCGACCCCCCCCCGGCTCCCCCCTCCTGTCAGGGGGTTGCAGAGCCAGAAGGTCCCCCCTGAGCCTCCTTTTCTCCAGGCTGAGCCCCCCCAGCTCCCTCAGCTGCTCCTGCTGCTCCAGCCCCTTCCCAGCTCCGTTCCCTTCCCTGCACACGCTCCAGCCCCTCAGTGTCTCTTGTCTGAGGGGCCCAGAAGTGCCCCCAGGGCTGGAGGTGCCCCAGCAGTGCCAGCACAGGGACGGGCCCTGCCCTGGGGCTGTGACACAGCAGGGCTGGGACACATCTGGTTTGGCACAGCAGGAGCGGGTCAGTGGGGCTGGGGTGGGACACAGGACCACGAGGGGCTGGGGGGCCCTGCCTGAGGTGGCCCCACCCCGCCATCCTGACCAGGGCTCTCGGGCCGCAGGGAGAACGCGGAGAACATGTACTTCTTCTCGGAGCTGGCGCTGACGCTGAACGAGCCCGAGGAGCGCGTGGCTCCCACGGACAGTCGGCTGCGCCCCGACCAGCGGCTCATGGAGAGCGGCCGCTGGGACGAGGCCAACGTGGAGAAGCAGCGGCTGGAGGAGAAGCAGAGGGCCGTGCGCCGCAGGAGGGAGGCCGAGGCCGTGGAGGCCCTGGAGGAAGGTGAGGTGATCCGGGATGTCCCTGGGCGGGAAGGGGTGGATGGATCCCACAGCTCTCTGTGGCCGTGGGAGGTGTGGGACTCGCCGGATTTCGGGTGGAAAAGCGTCGCTGACGCCGTGTTCCTCCCGGGACAGGGAAGGACTACGAGGGGTACATCCCGCTGTGGTTCGAGCGGAAGGTGGACGCCGTGACCGGGGAGCTCATCTGCGTCTACAAGGGCGGCTACTGGGAGGCCAAGGAAAAGCAGGACTGGAGCGTGTGCCCCGACATCTTCTGAGCCCCTGCCCACGCTGGGGCCGCCCCGCAGGACACCGGGACAGCCTGGGCACAGCCCGAGGGACAGCCCAGGGACAGCCCAGGGACAGCCCAGGGACAGCCCGGACACGCCGGCACCGCCCCGCCAGCACCTCCCAGGGCAACCCCCGAGCCAACACATGCAGAGGTCGAAACAGGGATTCCAAACCTATTTTTTTACGCACTAATAAATAGCATCCTTTTTTTTTTTTTATTTTTTTTTTTAAATGATGGCTTTTTCAGCGACTAATTGGGAACGAGGACACGTGGAGCCGGGTTGGGTTTGGGATATTCATTGCCTGTATCCCTCAGTGCCTCGGCTCCATCAGCTGAGACGTCGACTTCCAAAGATGCCCGGGGTGTGGGAATGCCGTGCACTTGTGTGAGCTCTTCTCTTTGCCATGTTTTTTTTCCCCTCCCATTATTTCTGTGTGGACTTTATGGAATTATTTTTTTAAAAAAAAGAATCTGCTCCTGGTTCAGGTTCCTTCAAAGACGGACATGAACAACCCTGAGTCCAGCTCGGAAAACTGTCCCCAGGGGCCGTGGCGCTCGGTCCCGGAGGCTCTTGGTGGTTCCTGCAGTGCCCAGTCATCCCAGTAACACCAATTAGGATATTTCAGCTGGTGACTTTGTTTTTTTGACCAGTTTTTTTGGTTTTTTTCAAGAGCATTTGAGCCGCTTCCCCACCGTCTGATGTGTTCAGTCAAGGCTTGGGACTGTCTTTGACGTGATGCTCTGTGGGAGTGGTTTGAGTGAGGTTTGGTTTGGTTTTCCTGCAGCCACATCGGAGGTGGAATGGCCTTGCCGAGGTCTGGAACGCCAGGCAGACCCAGTGCAGAGGTTGTATCCCAGCGATGCTCCAGGGTCCGTGTCCCTGCCCCGTATCCCGGCATCCAGGGGCTGGCAGGGGCCTGGACCTCGGTGCCAGGTTTTCCAGCTGCGTCTCCCTGCTGAGCTGGGTGGGAGAGGAGGGAAGAGATGCCGTGGTGCTGCTGGGATGGAGCCTTGGGCCTGGATCTCCTACCCCTGTGTCTTCCCCATCCAGCCAGACAGGTCTGGCCACAGTCCCCTGGCATGGGATGAGTCCAGAGGGTCCCAGCGCCCAGCTCCTGGATCCCTTCCCTCTGCTCCCTCATGGCTGGGCTTTCCTTGGAGCAGCTTCAGGTCACTGGGGCCGAGGGAACCCCTCGTCCCCCCTCACCCCTCCTGTGTGCCACGGCCTTCCCATGGCCCTGGACCCGCCGGGAGAAGCGGAGTGAGCGCTGCCGGTGATGGGCCCCGGAGCACCAAAGGGGAGCAGGGCTGGCAGCCCCTGAAAGGTGGGATCCCCTGGGCCAGAGAATATCAGGGAGAGCTGGACACCTGCACTTGCCCTGTTGGATGTCATTTTTGGTGTCCTCTTCTCCAGCTCCTCACCATATCACACCGGCGCTGCCTCCCGGCACATCCCCGTCAGAGGATAATTAGCAATAACGAACTTCGAGGCAACGGTAACTGGAATATCCAGGCTGCACATGGGACACTTATGCAATCAGGTTCCTCATCCATCAGTCTCCTGGTCAGCTTCCAGCACCTCCATCCCCGTTCTCCCCCACAGCCCCCGCGTGTACAGTCCCTCCAGCCCCTGTACAGCGTCACCGTGGGGAGGGACAGCCCCCCCTGCTCTCAAGGGACCCTTTCATCTTATTTATTTGCTTCTAATTTATACATATATATAAATATATATAAAATTATTTTGCTTAAATTTCTATGGTACACAATAGATGAAAAATGATGAAGACAGAAGTGTCTGTCTGAGTTTTTGCAGCACGAGTACGATCCCCCTCGGCTCATCCCCGAGGTCGGGGGATGGTGATGGAGTGATTCCCAAAGCAGGGAAGTTGTGTTTTGCTCCAAAGCTGGATGCAGTAGTATGGGAAAGGTTTTCCAGAGACATTCCCCTCTGGAAACGATTTGTTTGGGGTTTGAGGGGCGGCACTCGAGATCCCTGGGAATGGGATGCTCCAAACTGCTTCCCAGGTCCTGGGTGTCACAGCCGCTGCTCCGGCGTGTTCACTCCCTCCAGACCCTTCCTGGAGCTGTGCCCTGGCTCGGGAAAGTCGATGCAGGTCTTAAATGATCCAGACTTCATTAAATGTGGGATTCAGCCCGTGGAGAGCTGCCGGTGTCCCGGCCCCAGGTGTCCTTCCTGGGAGAGCAGAGGATGCTCCACACTGATCCCGGTGCCGCTGGGTTGGTTTGTGGCAGCACCAAAGTGTCCCGGGGGATTTATCCCACTTGAGGCCTGAATTGGGTTTGTAAAATGGGCTAAAAGTTGAGCTTTTCAGAATGCCTTACTTTTCCTTTTTGCTGTGTCAATGCAACTGTCACCTGGGAGCTTGGAGAGGGGAGAAACTCCAGCACGGGCTGTTCCCGAAGCTGGATCTGGGTGTTCCCGCAGCAGAGGAGGGCGGGGAGCAGGATGTTGCCCTGTAAGTGCTGGCTCCGAGGGTCCTGCTGGGCTCTGGGGCCCTGAGAGGTCCTCTCTGATGTGCCCCCATGGCCACATCCATCTGGGAATCCCCATCACAACCCTGCACAGCTCCATGGAGCACAGGGGAGCACGAGGAGCACCCCCAACCCAGGAATCCCCCGGATTTTAGGCTAATTGGAAAAATTGCTCCATCTTCCAGAGTTCATCTGTCAGCAGCACTTAACCAGAGCACCATCTCCTGGTCCCTCTGTTCCTCCTGGAGGATTTTAGTGTCATTCCACTGTAAATGCTGTTGAATGTATTTTCTTTTTGAACAATAATATATTGTGAGTGATCCCTCTTCTCCTTCACGGAAATAAAACTTGGATTCGGGAGTTTTAAAAGCCGCAGTGCTGAGATGGTCACTGGCTCCCTGGGGCTGCAGGGGGGGGGTCCTGGAGGAGCCCCAAGGTGGGTGAGCTCTGGGGGGGTGTGGGGGGCAGAGGAGGGACTGTGGGAGGTGACCAGGGGAGGAGGAGATCCAGGAAATGTTGATCGAAGAAGAAAGTTGCCCAGAGCTTAAGGAGGTCCAGGGAAGTGGTTGTTCAGGGAAGGAGGAGGATCTGGGGAGGAGATGGTCCAGGGAAGGTGGTTTGGGGGGCAGGAGGTGGCCCAGGGGAGGACATGGCCCAGGGAAGGTTGTTCAGAGGAGGAGGTTGCCCAGAGGGTGAGGAAGTCCAGGGAAGTGGTTGTTCAGGAAAGGAGAAGAATCCAGAGGAAAGTTTCCAAGGGGAGGAGATGGTCCAAGGAAGGTGGTTTGGAGGGGAGAAGATGGTCCTTGGATGGTCCAGGGAAGGTGGTTTGTGGGACAGGGGAGGAGTTGATACAGGGGAGGATTTTCAAGGCAGGAGGCGTCCAAGGGGAGGAGGTCCAGGGAAGCAGGAGCAGGAGAGGTGGCCCAGGTGTAGGTGCCCATGGAAGGAGATTCTCTGGGAGAAACAGCTTAGAGGAGAAAGAGAACCAGGGAAGGGGTTGCCCAGGGACGAAGGAAACTGGGTAAGGAGATCATCCGGGGGCAGGGATGTCCCGGGGGAGTTTGGCCGAGGGAGAAGATGGTGGCCCAGGGGAGAAGGAACAGGGAAGGAGGAACAGGAGAGGTGGCTCAGGGGAAGGTGTCCGGATATGGAGATTCCCTGGGGATGGTGGGGAGGAGCTGTCCCAGGGGACTGTGTGTGGGGCAGGAGGAGGCCCAGGGGAGCTGGGGGAGGGTCTGAGCGGGGGCTGGGGACGGTAATCCCAGGCAGGCTGAGACTGGTCCCTGCGGTCGTTGCCAGGAGACAGAGACACACAGCGCTGCCCGTCCTGGTCCTGCCTCTTATCCTGCTCCTGCCCTGCCTGCCCCAGGTGAGCACGAACCGGGGCTGGGCTGGGGGACCCCGGCCCTGGGACCCCCGAGCCCCGCTGAGCCCGGGGGGGTCCCCGCCTGCTCCGGGTGCGGGCAGTGGGAGCGAGGACCCGGCAGCTCCCGGGGGCAGCTCCCGTGCTGGAATCTTGGCTTTAAGGAAAAGCAAAGCTCTGTCCCCCATCACCCTGCGGCGGGGCCTCGGCCCGGGACGGGGGTGGGCCCGGGCTGTGTCGGGCTCGGCGTGTTCACTCTGGAGCCCGAGGAGTCCATGGAGCTCTCTGGAGTGGGTTCCCCTCCCCGTGCCCTGTGCTGCAGGCCGGGGTGGCGGCCACGGAGCTGCAGGATGGTGTTTTGCAAGGCCAGAAGTGTAGTCAGGGTCACACAGGTGCCCAGCTCTCCCGCAGCCCCGGGCCAGCAACACCTTTGCTTGTCCTGCTCCTCAGGGGAGCTGTTTGCCAGCCCGGGGTGCTGCCCGTCCTGCCTGGACACCCGCCCCCCCGGGGATTTTTGGCCACCCCGCAAGGCTTTGAGACTCTCAGCAACTCTTTCCTGTCGCAGCCCTGGGCCCTGGGAAGCAGCTGGAGTCTGCAGGATCCTGGGCAGGGAAACACCGGGACGGTGGACTGGAACCCGCTGATGCCCCGCTCGGCAGGGGAGGGGTTGGGAAGGGTTGTGGGGCTGAGATGTGGGGCTGCAGCGGGACCACCCGGGGGCTGATGCAGCAGCAGCACTGGGGCGCTCCTGCTTTGTCCCTCCGTGAACCCCCTGTTCCCTTTGTCCCCCCTGCAGCCTCCAGGGTGTGCTGGGCACCGGCAGCAGCACAAACAGGGACACCCTTCCCAACACCGTCCTCGCTGGCTCCGGGATGGCTGGTGAGAGGCAAAGGGGCACTTTGGGGTTTCCTCAGCGCTGCTTTGCCCCCCAACCCACTCTGCCCACCCCCTCTCCAGCTCTCCTGCAGAGCAATGCCTGCAGGGAATGATGCTGGGACAGAGGGGCATAGAGCTGGGAAGGGGCTGGAGCAGCAGGAGCAGCTGAAGGAGCTGGGGGGGCTCAGCCTGGAGCAAAGGAGGCTCAGGGGGGACCTTCTGGCTCTGCAACCCCCTGACAGGAGGGGGGAGCAGGGGAGGGTCGGGCTCTGCTCCCAGGGAACAAGGGACAGGAGGAGAGGGAACGGCCTCAAGCTGTGCCAGGGAGGGTCAGGTTGGACATTGGGGAAAATTTCTTTCCCAAAATGGTTGTCCAGCTCTGGCACAGCTGCCCAGGGCAGGGGTGGAGTCCCCATCCCTGGGGGGATTTAAAAGCCCTGGGGACGTGGGTCAGTGGTGGCCTTGGCAGTGCTGGGGGATGGTTGGATTCAGTGATCTCAGAGGGCTTTTCCAACCTTGCCACTTCTGTGGTTCCATGATTCTGCAGCCAATGCTGTTGATTCCAAACACACACCAGAGGGATCAAACCAGCAAGTGCTTGGAGAGCAAACTGTGCCCTGGGGAACATGCAAAGGGCAGTTTGGGACCAGGTCTCCCTGGTTTGGGATCAGGACTGTCCTGTCAGGCAGTGGCTTCCCATTTTTTGTGATAGAAGATGAGGACAGTATCCCCACCTCGTGCTCTGCTGCCCTGACACTGCCCCCACACTGAGCTGTGCCAACCCTGGGAGCATCATCAGGGTCAAATAGACCCTGGTTTAAAAAGAAAATAAGGAGGATATTGTGGCTTTTTCTTCTGGAAGCAGTTGAGGATTTTGCTGGAGGGGTGGGATGTCTTCAATGTCTGTGCTTTGGTGCCCACCAAACGCTCCTTGATGAGAACAGGGATTTCCAAGGTGTTTCAGATCCAGGTCCTTCCCACCCCTGCCCAGGCACGGAGTGGGCTCATGGTCTGCTCTCCCACACAGAGCTGGAAGGACACAGTGCTGGGTGTCCCCAGGGTGACAGCAGCCCTGTCCCATGGGAGCAGGAGCAGAGCTGGGCTCCTCTCCTGGGCTCCAGCCCGGGGGACCGGAGCAGCTCCAGCTCCATCTGCACCGAGGACTTCGCTGCCAGGTTCCAGGAGGGAATGGTGGAACCCCTGCTGCCTGAGGAGGAGGAAGATGAGCTCACTGGGGTTGTCCCCACTGAGGGAGCTGACCCTGGGCAGGATGAGTCCTTGTTCCCCACAGGGAGAAGTCTGGATGTCCGGAGACAGCTGGTGACGTATCCGGGCAGAAAACTCTGGGGGGACAGGTCTCCATCCCCGATGAGGAGGGGGAGCCTGGAGTCCCTGGGAGCCAGGATATCCCGGCTGAGCCAGAACCACGTGCTGGGGGTGGCCCGGGGGGAGCCCTGCCCAGCCCCCTCTGCCCAGCCAGCCCTGGGCCGGGGGGATTCTCCCCAGGGGGGTTCAGGCTCCAGGGAAGACCTGTTGGCCTTTTCCCTGCCTGGGCATCCCCTGAGGACTCCAGGGATCTCTGCTGGCAGGAGCAGGGCCGGGGCAAGGACAGGCTCTGCCAGTTTGCCCAGTGCCAGGACCAGGGGACATCCCTCCAGCAAGGCCCTGGGCCAGAGGCTGCAGGAGCCACCAGCTCTCCGGGGACAGAGCAGAGGGAATGTCACCCTGGCTGTGGATGACACGGAGGGGGAAGGAGCGGGCAGCAGGAACAGAGCTCCCTGCTCGGATCACCGTGAGCCGGGGCTGGCCGGGGGTGCTGGAGGAGGAGGGAGGGTGGGACAAGAGGGGGAAGGGGCACGGCCGGGGCAGGGGACCTCTCTGGGCAGGGCACGGCGGCAGGACCAGCCCCAGCTGCTCGTGGGGTTTGTCTGGGTTTGGGGCTCCCCCTCCCTAAAACGCCCCTTTCCCCGCAGGTGCTGAGGCAGCACTGGGAGCACCGGGAGCACCGGGAGCACTGGGAGCCCCCGGGACAGGGGTGTCACCTGTGTCCTGGTGGCAGCGGGGGAAGCACAAAGTGGGGCTGCCCTGCCAGGTACAGCTCTGGGCTGGCTGGGGCTTGGGGGGGCAGGAGGAGGGGAGGATGTTCCCGGCTCTGCCTTCTGCTGGGATGTGGAGACCAGTGGGGATGGGAACAGGAGACCGAGCTCGGCCCCGGGCCTTGTGTCCCACGTGGAAATGCCCATGGAAATGTCCATGGAAAAGGAGCAAATGGGTCTGTAACCCCACTCTTGGATGCCAGCGTGCAGTGGCACAGCCGGTGTCACTGCAGAGGAGCCGGGAGGGGACACGAGAGCCGGGATCTGGTGCCAAGACTCGGAGTGGAGGGGACAGAGCCAGGTGTGCCGGGGGCTCCAGGGATGGGTCCTGCACTGAAGCTGGAAAAGAGGACGGTACCAGAAGCCCAAGAGGGTCCTGGACCCCCAGAGGGGGTGGACACCCTCCTGGGAATGTCCAGAGCCGGGGAGTGGTGACACCGGGGATGTGGGTGACGGTGTTCCCAACACAGGGCTGGCCTGGCACTGCTGCCACACTCCTGGGACAGCTGGCACAGGCACCCCACGGACCGGGAGAGGATGGTGAGGTGACCTCGAGATGGCCCAAGCAGGGGCAGGGACAGGCTGGGGGTGCCCTTGGGTGGGGGGCAGAGGGAGGAGCGGCTGCTCCTGCCGCTGATGGGAGGGGCAGAGCTGGCTCCTGGAAGGGGCAAAGGCGTGGGAATGGGAAAAGAGGGGGATTTTCCAGTCTCGGCAGGGGCAGGGAGCCTGTGCCGGCTGCCGGGAGCGGCTGGGGAAGGAGGGAAGGAAAATGTTGGCTTTGCAAGAGGAGAAACTCGAGCTACTGAAGGTCAGTGAACTCCCAGCTTTTCAGTGGGGCCGAGATCACACCAGAGGGGCCGTGGGAAGGAGCACACACATCACACCCCTGCACACACATCACACCCCTGTCAGGGCTCAGCCCCTTATCCAGGCACGCACATGTCCCATGGGAAGAGTTCGGGGCCGCCCAAATTCCTAAAGAGCCAAACTAGATCTATCCCCAGGAAGGTTTTATTGAGGGGCTGGGGCTTTTAAGAGAAGAGTTTGTTGGGAAAACCACCCTTACGGCTGTAGGCAGATGGGGTGACTGGTCTGCAGGTCAGAAGGTCCCTGGAGATCCCCAGCAGAGGCAGAGAGAGCTGGGATGTGGGGGGTGGGCAGGGCTTGATGCCAGGGTGAGGATACCCAGGCTGACAGCACTGACTCACCAAACCTCAGCTCTTTCCTGGGGGACAGGAGGGACTCGGGAATCCTGCCTGGAAACTGCCCCTGGGAAGAGCCTTCCTGGGCCTGGAGGGTGGCCACGGGCAGCCAGAAGGGGTGATGTGACTCCAGCTTCTCTTGCAGAGGCTCCGGGAGCTGGAGCAAAGCAGCCGCTCCCTCCTGCAGCAGAGGCTGGAAACGCTGCACCAGCTCCACGGGCTGCTCCTGAGGGAGAGGGTGGACACCCTTCGGCAGCTCCAGAGGACCCTGGAGCAGGTCAGGAAGGGAGAAGGGAATGACGGGGATATGAGGCAGTGCCAGGGCACCCCGTGGGGGGGCACATCCAACCACAGCTGAGCTGCAGAACCAGGGGCTGTGGCTCACCCTGAGGGGGATCAGCCTGGGGAGTGCAGCAGCCCAGATGTGCTGCTCCCTCCAAGTCATCCAGATGTTTTTCCCTCCCCACGAGAAGGGCTGGTGGGGATGGAGGGCTCTGCCGGGTGCATTGGGCAGCAGGCTCCGGGCATGGTCCGTGCTGGGGATGGCTCGGGGGGAGATGCCCCTCGGGTGCCTCCAGGCTTGTCCTGCTCGTGCCAAACCCCTGCCCAGCCCTGGGTGGCTCCAGGTTTTCCCTGGAAGCTCTGACCCGGCTGCAAGGCCAACAGCTTTCACAGGAGAGGCTGAGCGGGCTCGGGGGGCAGAGCTGGTGGTGCAGGTGCCGCTCTGATCCCTCTCTCCCGACACTGCTCCCCAAGGAAAGGGCTGGCGGGAGCGTCCGGCTGGAGCATCTCCCGGGACACCCACGGGAGCCGGCGGTGCGAGGGCGGGCTGGGCACCCCCCGGCCATGGAGACCCTCTCTCTGTGCCCGTGCCAGCACCAACCCCTCCCCAGCAGTGCCCTGGGACGGGGCCCCTCCCCGGCCGCGGGCGGGTGAGTCCCAGAGCCGCGGGTTCGGCAGGAGGGAGCTCGGGTGGGTGATGGGGGTTCCTGCCCTCTGACACTCCGGCCCCTCGTCCCTCCCTGTCCCCTCCAGCTCGTCCCCCCCGTCCCACAGCCACGTGCTCCACATCCTGCGGGGGCTCCGGGAGCACATCCAGCGTCGCCTCCGGGAGTGGCAGAGGGTGGAGGGAGCCCTGGGACCTGCTGGACAGAGGAAGGAGGTGATTTGGGGGTGGGGAGGAGGGCCTGAGACGTGGATGGAACCCATCAGCCTTTGGAGGAATCCCCCCCATTCCCGGTTCCTGGAGCCCACCCTTGGGAGCGCAGGGCGGGGGGGTGTCCCCACAGACCCCGTGTGTGACGGGGAGCGGGGCCACCCCTGTGTCTGTCCCCGTGCAGGAGGGAGGACAGAGGCGGCAGCCGGAGCAGCCCCGCACGGACCAGGCAGCAGCTCCAGGAGCCCGGAGGGAGCAGCTGCTCCAGGGAAAGGCTTCAGGTCCTGCTCCAGAGCTCTCCCCCGGCAAGGCCGTGGTGGGGGCTCAGGTAGCTGTGTCTCGGGGGGGGTTGGGCTCTCAGTGACCTGCAGGGATCCCCAGCTCCCCCCCAGAGGCTGCATGTCCAGCACTGTTGGTGATGTGTCAGGTGATGGAGGAATCAGACTTGTGATAGCCCCGTGTGCCCACGGCTGGGCTCCAACCCCAGCCCAGAGCAGGAGGGACCTGTGTGAGGGACCCTCCCGGCCCTTCCAAACCAGGGCTGACCATTCCCTCTCTCACACAGAGTGAACATCTGCACCCCACTCCCACCTGGTCCCTGTCCCCGAGCCCTGCCCCCTTGGCAAAGCTGTGGGTCCCCAGGGCTCCTGCACCATCTCCAGAACCACTTGCAGGAGCTGCAGCTGGAGAAGACACAGCACATGGGGAACCTGAGTGTCCTGGAGGGAGAGCTGGGAAGCACAGCAAGGGAAGAGGTGCAGAGACAGCCAGGGGACTCACCCTGTGCCACAGCCTCAGCCCAGGGATGGATCCAAACAAGGAGGAGGTGCAGAGCTCCACCGAGGACCACGCCAAGGACAGACCTGCCTGGTGGGAACAGTCCTGCAGCAGGGCTGGGACACCAGGGCTTGTGTCTGACCTGGGGACCCTGGGCAGGTCCCACCACCAGCATCCATCTGTGCCATGGAATCAGTGACACCAGGGTTGTTTGTTGATCCTGAGGGACCTGCTGGTGGAGTGGCCATGGAGGTCCCAGGGAACCTTCTCCTGAGGTTACCTGGGTGAAGCACAGGGTCCTTACACTCCCCCTCCCACTCTACAGCTTCTCCTCTCCTCAGTCTCCCCTCCCCGGGATACAGCCCTGGGGTCCCTCTCACAGCAGGCTGGAGGTGACATTTCCTTTGCTGTCCCACCACAAGGACACACATTAGGTTGGATATTGGGAAAATCTCTTAACTGAAAGGGTTGTTCAGCCCTGGCACAGCTGCCCAGGGCAGTGGTGGAATCACCATCCCTGGGAGTGTTCAAAAAGGAGCAGATGTGGCACTTGGGGACATGTTTTAGTGGGCACTGGGGGTTTTGGTCAAAGGTTGGACTTGATGACCTTGGAGGCCTTTTCCAACCTTTCTGATTCCATGATTCTGTGTTTTCTCCCGGGACACCGAGGCCCCATCAGGGGCTGCCATGAAGATGAGGGGTCACAGCCATGGAGTTCCAAGAACCTGCAATGAACAGGACAGCAAAGCTCCTGCAAATTCCTCATTATGAGCTTGTGGTGGCTCTTGGAGCTGCCAAGGGCCCTTGGGAAGGGGGATCTGCCTACGCAGTGCTGGGAGCACTGACCCTGGGACAGCTGTGGGCAGAAAGGTGTGATGGAAAAACAACAGGGAATTGTTCTGTTCAGATGCTTTAATTTAATTTTGAAAAGGAGAAACCTCTTCCTCAGTCTCTACACAGCTCTCTGGGGCAAGGCTGGTTTTAATTCCAGGAGAACATCCAAGGGGACTTTCTCCACGTGCAAGGGGGGAGATGAGAATTTCTGGCAGTATTTTATTACTACACTTTGTTCTGGGGGAAGGGATGAGAATTGGAATATCTGTGTGCTTTCCTTCCAGTGAAAAGTGTTTTTCATTTTGTTTCTCTGCAATGTGGGCTCGGGGAGGTTCCTGAAATCCCTTGCTGAAGTTCCTGTGTTATGATTTTCCTTCTAAGTTTCACCAGCAGAATGTGGCAGAAGCTGCATCTTTTCTGCAGAGCTTTTAATTAAAACCCAAATACTTACAAGGCTCCATGAACATCTTTGCCAACATCAGGCTGAGGTTCCTGGTCATGTGAATGAAACCAGGAGAGAGAAAACTGATCCCTCAGCAGAGGATTGATGGACAAATGGCTCCCAAATCTCTGAATGACCATAGCAAGGTCTTTGTTATTGTAGACTCACAGGATGGTTTGGAAGGGACCTTAAAGCCCATCCTGTTCCACCCCTGCCATGAGCAGGAACACCTTCCACCAGCCCAGGTTGCTCCAAGCCCCGTCCAACCTGCCCTTGGACACTTCCAGGGATCCAGGGGCAGCCACAGCTTCTCTGGGCAACCTGTGCCAGGGCCTCCCCACCCTCCCAGGGAAGGATTTCCTCCCAATATCCCATCTAACCCTGCCCTCTGGCAGCTCCAAGTCATGGCCATGAAGGTTTTGATCCTGGCAGAGGCTGAAGATGTAAAGTGGAAGATCCACCGTGGTGAACTTTGGATTGAAACTTTGAAAGCTTTGGTGATGGACTTTCTGGTTCTTCAACAATTCCTGGACACGTTGGGGTTTTTAACACTGGCCTGGGAGAAACCTTTCAAGAAGGTGTGAGGCAGTGGATGGAGTTAGACTGTAACACTTTTGCTCTTTAAAATATCCAGAAATTCACTTTTCTTTTCCCATCTTTGACCTTTTTTCCATGGGATGCAGTTGGGAACCTGCTCAGCACAGACACTGCAGCTCCTGCTCTGGCTGATGCTGCTGGTGCTGCGAGTGTGAAGGAATTGGGATTGCTTTGCTCTGGGGCCATCCAGAGGGTTGGGATTGCTTTGCTCTGGAGGCATCCAAAAGACTGCAGGGAGAAGATTCTTCACTGCCACAGGAGGAAAGAGAGCTGAGGATGGACCTGGGGTGTCACCACACACTCTCCAGGCAGTCCTGGGTTTGTTCCTCCCCTGTTGTGTAGGAAAAATGTTTATTCTGGGAATCCAGTGGGAAAGGTGCAGGTCACTTGGACAGGTGCTGTTTGGTGCTGCTGGAGCCGGATGCAAACACAGCCCTTCTGGTCTGTCCCTGCTCCCATTTGTCCTCCACTTTCTGGGATCTCACACAAACCCTCCCCTTCTCCTCCTTTTTCCTGTGCCACCTTTATCCTTTCTGCTCTGCAGAAGATTTCATTTTCCCCTCAAAACACCCCCATGTCTTGAAAGCCACCTGTGACTGTGCCCAAGTGGCCCCTGGGGAGCCCCCTCAGCCCCCTCCACGGGTGGGTACCAGTGTGGGACTCGCAGAGACAACGCTGCAGTGGAGCCCTGAGGGCACAGGGAGCAGTTCACTGGGTTTGGAAGTTCAGCTGCAGGAGGAGATGGGCTCACAGACCTTTCTGGCCTTGGCATTGGTGGTTTCACGACCCCAGCAGCTCCCTGTCCAAGGGGAGCAGGAAAGTGTTAAAGTACAGCACCTCTGTCCCCCAGGCAGCTGAGAATTCCAGCTGGGAATTCCTCATCCTCTGCCTCTGCTCCAGAGACAGGCTGGGAGAGCTGGGGGTGAGGAGAAGGCTCTGGGGAGACCTGAGAGCCCCTGGTCAGTGCCAACCACCCTCTGGGGGAAGAACCTCTCCCTGATACCCACCCCAGCCCTCCCCTGGCACAGCTCCAGCTGTTCCCTGGGTCCTGTCCCTGCTCACAGGGAGCAGAGCTCGGAGCTGCAGCCCCCGAGGAGCCTCCCCAGAGTCTCCTCTTCTTCCGTGGAGGATTTCAGAGATGCCAGCCAAGGCTCAAACACCACGAGCACCACAGGGCTCTGTGGGTAATGCCGGGGGTTCTGTCCCTCTTGGAC